TATATACTGAGGTTGTGAGAAATAATCCTGTCACACGATTTATGACAGACGGTTTATTGCAACTTAATTCCAATTTTTTTATGTATTTATATGTGCTTCTATAGGAGGAAAGGGGAAATTTGGAATCGTGGACGGACGTAAAAGAACTCGAAGTAACTCAAGTCAGTATTCACCTTTGTCACTAAGTGATGTATGTTAACGTTATTATCGCCCACATCTCTTACTTACTTACAAAACAGACGTCTGCCCACTGTTGCTGAACAAAATCTTTCCACTGCATCATAGAAGTACCGCTGTAACTTCGTACTGAACGGAAGAGGTTGCATTGTTGATTGTGCTTTGAACAAATAAACAAATATACCTCGCTGGGTACAACGTCCCAAAGACTAAAAACTTAGTTCTTAAGATCTTCATGGTAGGCCAACGTACAGTTTTTCAGATGGCTGCAGATGCACTCCTTTGTACACTATGTAGCTGCTTTATGTAACACCGGGCACCCACTGCGTCGTGCCGACGAATTCAACTCCGCTCCCGGTGAGCGATAAACAACGCGACGACGCCATCTGCTGATTTTCTCGGTGGCAGTCGGAACGAATCGTCAATAAAAACGATCCGTTGTGCACTCGTCGCCGTGTTGTGTTTATTATAAAATCGCGTTGGGTGCAGTGAGTGCCCAGCTTATGTGTTGCAACCAAAGATACTGGAAATACAAGGTAGGCTATCAAGGTTACAGCTTCATTGATGTGTGAATTCAAGAATTGATGGTTAAACGGGCAGGATTTGAGCACCGCACAGTCTTAACACAACAATTATGCAACATTTCTCTCATGCATTTCTCTAATTGCAAGAGTGAAAAGACTGAAAAAGTGCCTACAGTAATCATTTCAGTAGGGATAGATTAGAGGTAGATACATAGAAATTTACTCTATTTTGCATTTAGAAAGTACATAGTGACAAAAAAAACTACAGTGATTAGGTAGAGCAAGACTCAAATCGCAGAATGAAAAAAACAACTCGATTCATACTCATTCTTGTATATGACTTCTTAATTCAGTTGCAGCCGACACACCGGGGTATGAATAAAGAACAATTGATAATAGCTACGTCACTCAAAGTGCTGCCTCATTATACTTGTTATTATTGTTTAGAATAAATTGGCTATATTAATTTCATTTTTGCATATTACCGTATATGACAACTAGATAGGCCTAATGAATAATGCAATGTGTTATTATTTTTTATGTTGTTATGTAGCTCTATATTATTATTATAAGTTTATGTTCTGCAATATGTATGCCCAAAGAGTATAACTATTTATACTCTTTGGTATGCCCTATCTAAATGTTGACCATTTTCTGGGAATCTTGTATATAGGCCATTTATTCAATTGCTATTAGTATCCTAACTATTTTTTTTTTCTCTTAACAATGAAAATTACCTAATTTAGAGAACAGTTTAGTAAAATAGTAAAATTGTTATCCCAACTTGATTTGTCTGAACTTGGAATAACCTTCCTGTAGACATGTTGCATCTTGTTTGTTTAAAAGTAAAATTGAGAAGGCTTTATTTGTTCATCTTCAGTATGAACGAATAAAGATCATAAAGTATTCATACTCTAATTTGCTAACAGAAATTTACCGTTCTAATTTTCAGTTTTAAGTTAATAGCCTATTTGAATATACTAATTAATAAAAGTTTGTTGTTTTTTTTTTCAATTTTGAATACATGTTAAATCAGGGTTTCCCAGCTGGTGGCCCTACTGTATTTCCTACGAGTGCATGTTTGTTATGTTATCCGGCCCGCTAGAAGTCTACGATAATAATAAAAAGACTTGTGCCTAGATTTCTAACCTTCATAATTTTACATTATGTGTTTGACGAATAGGTATAAATTGCCCTAGATAATGGTAGCTTTGTAATTAAAGGAATTGAAAAAAATAGCAAAAAGCAACCTGCGTAGGAAATTCAGGCCCGGCCCACTCTCTGACTCTATGATCGCTTTGCGATTTGCATAATCATTAAATTATTCAATCTACAAACTTGGCCCCAGTCGTGATATGTGGAGAACCCCTGTTAAATATTAGTGGGAAGCCAGGCTCCATAGGAACATTTTTTTTAATGTGTTACGACCATAGAGATATAATGAGAATAATTTAATAGCTCTATGGTTACAACTGATTTTTCTTAAACACAAAAGGTTGTTTGACGACGAAAGGGCCGTAACCATACCCTTTACCGATCCTTTTCCCCAATTTTTTAAATATATCAAAAGCATCTCATTAACTTTTCCCGAATTTTTTGTCAAACAGCTTTTTTGTGTCTTAAAAAAATCAGGACAAAATTGTAACTTGTAAAGTGTCTTATAGTCATTGTTGCATTAATTACCTAAGTGTATTTTGTATTTATCCATTACGGTATCACCTGTAACTGCTAGTTTTATTGAAAGTTTTACCGTACAGTACTACAATACTATTTTGAAATGAGTTGAGTACTGGTTGACAAATAAATTCAAAAAAGTACAATAAGCTTACCATGTGCAACTGTATATCTAATGTTCATTCATTTATAATATGATAAACTTTGTATTTTGTACTTAATCATATATTTATTATATGTTGCTAGTTTAAAGAAATAATTAAATTTCATGTGAATCGAGCTGTGCACGTTGACAATCAATAAATTTATTTTATATCTTTTAGCTTACACTGGGCATTTTTGCTGAATGTCATTTTTGAATTTTTATGACTGTGTGGGCCTATATTTTAATAACAATAATTATGGAGATATATTAATATATTGCCACAATTCAGAAAATTCACATTAGCCTGAATTTTACGATCCGAGAGCAATGGGCATGCATCAGCCTAATATCCCGTTATTATTGATAGATCAGTTTCTGGAGCTGTCAATAATGTTAGTACTAGAAAATATTAAACCTAATTTATTACTTACATTACAGACTACACTATCATTACAGTACACAAAAGCCAATATATTCAATAGGTTTATGCTCAATATATGTAGGACTATTAAAATTATAAAAACATATTAACTGATAATTCATGCTTAAAGTGAATAATTTCAAATGGACATTTTTATGAAATTAAAATTGTTACAATTTTAGGATCTGTCTCTTATACACATCTAGATGTGTATAAGAGATAACATTATTGTATACATACGAAACTGGTCTATCCTATTGTTTAAAGAAGCGTTTGCTATACGTAGACTACACCCTTTGCTTAACAATGGGCTCAGAGCTTCAAAGGAGCTTTCTTTGCGTTTGTAGGTAGCTTTGATCAGTAGAGTATGGTAAGAATGCTTTGATCTTTTGTTTAAATCAATGCTATGTCACTTACTAGAGATAATGTTGGTTAAACATTTTGGTACTAGTCCATATAAGCTTGCTAATATTGATAATTTTTTCATTCCTGATGATGACATAATTAATGTCGAAATATTGAATCCCAACACGATGGCGTGTATTTCAATACTTGGAGTATGTATTACACTTTCTTAAACATATTTAGTTGAAGAAATAAAAAAGTTTTCCTACCGACCACCTACCCATTTTTTTTTTTTTTCCAAAAACGTGGCCAACGCAAAAAAAAAAAAAAAAAATATTTTCCTAGCTGGTTTAATGCACAATGTACCGTACCAAATTTGGTATTTCTTGTCAGTAACAGCGAGTTTCATTATGGAGTCTTCTTGGCCATAATATAAATTTTATTTAATATTAAGGCAATTCAACATACATCATAAAACATCATACTGTACATATCAAACTAATTCCTTTAAATTTGGATATAGCATGTGTGTGTGGAGAGATTGATATTTCAAACTTCCCTGTAATTAGCTGTGCTTACTAATTTAATTAAAATATGTATTAACATTTAAACGAGTATACTTCCCGTTAGTATATCACCACCGCCACCACCGAATTTTTATATTCGCATTCTCTGGGTGCTGTTTTAAATTTTGTAGGCCTACATTTTGTTATTGTTCTTGATGACAATTTTAAAACTTTTTCAAAATTTTAATAATGTGCAATTAATATCAGTGTTTTGATGTCTGCTTTGTATATCGTATTTTTATATCTATTTTTAAATTATAAATATTAATGATTTTAATTGATTAATGATTTAATGAGCAATGGACCCCATTGGAAATGGGCTGGACTATGTACGTCCTAATGGCGTTATTGATGCTCATTATTTTTTTTACGTTTTTTTGTTCTCAAATCATTTATATATTGGTTGCACATGTTGAGCATCGAATAAATTCAATCAATCAATCATCAACCACTCGACCACAAAGCTTGTGCTTGGTGGCTAAATGATGAGTCGGAGCGGAGAGCTCCATGGATTGTAATTTCATAAAGGCCTTGTCTGGCTTGACGTTGGTTGGTTGGTTACTGATATTACCGGTGACCAGTAAACCTCTTTGATGCAAAATTGATCAGTCGTTGGTGTCGCTGTAAACGTTGCAACAGAAAGCAACGATAGGTAAGCGTTACGTGGGGTCATGAATAATTAAGTAGCAATAGAAATTGAATATTCATTTCACCTAGCGCTGTATGTTATTGTCGACAAGGTCCAGTGAACACACACTACACACGAACTTTTTTTTTCTGCTTGTGTAAAGTAACAAAGTGAAATTATATAGGCCTAGCCTAGGCCTATTTTTTTGTGTATGTACTGTACCTTGTAAGTAGTACGAAAAATATAAACAGAAGCTACCACCAGCGGCAGTAGGCCTAATAAACAAGGCCTATGTAGCCGCGCCAGGTTGGTTACGAACCAATTATTATTCTACATTAGTACCGGCCCTGTCTCAATTATTTCATATTGTTCATATCCATATTACTTTTAGGGTGTTCATAACAACACCTGCAGTAGCAGCGCCTATGTTCTTTTTATTTTTTGTTAAACAATTTTTTATATTGTATATATTTTTGTTATGTTTAAACTGTACCACATTGAAAATAAGTGTAATTACTGAAAGTGCCTACAGTATAAAGAATAAATAAATAATAATAAATAAATTAATTAAGGATTAATATATGAAATATAACAACACCTGCAGTAGCGGTGCCCGTAATGCAGTAGCGGTGCCCATCTAAGGATTTAATATAAAATATAACAACACCTGCAGTAGCAGTGCCCATCTAAGGATTAATGTATAAAATATAACAACACCTGCAGCAGCGGTGCCCGTAACGCAGTAGCGGTGCCCATCTAAGTATTAATGTATAAAATATAACAACACCTGCAGTAGCGCAGTAGCGGTGCCATCTAAGAATTTAATGTATAAAATATAACAACACCTGCAGATGGCAGCAGTGCCCATAACTTCAGTAGTGGTGCCCATCTAAGGTTAACGTATAACAAATATAACAACACCTGCAGTAGTGGTGCCATTAATGCAGTAGCGGTGCCCATCTAAGGATTAATGTATAAGATATAACAACACCTGCAGTAGTGGTGCCCATATTCTTTTTATTTTTTGTTAAACATTTCATTATATTGTATGTATTTTTGTTATGTTTAAACTGTACCACTTTGAAAATCAATGAAATAATACTGAAAGTGCCTACAGTATAAAGAAAGAATAAATAAATAATTAATAAATTTAAGAATTAATATATAAAATATAACAACACCTGCAATAGCGGTGCCCATCTAATGATTAATGTACTGTATAAAATTGTTACCCGTTGCGATTGGGTGCTACAATTTTTATTACTCCCGATTACCACGGAATCTGATCGCAACGAATCACAAGGGTAGATGGGCACCCTATTCAGACTACACTCTCTTGCGATCGGTTGCGATGTAATCGGTGGTGATCCAAAACTGATTACTCCCCATCGCAATCAACGAACGCATTCAGACCAACACAAACAAACTTTACATTCTAGGGCCTAGGCCTCCGGTGGCTAGGCCTATGTTGCCTGACCTCAGCCAAACAGTGCCTGTGGAATTCGTTGCGATCAGATTCCGTGGTAATCGGGAGTAATAAGATTGTAGCACCCAATTGCAACGGGTAACAATTGCGATATCGATTACATATCGACTACTATTGGTGAGCTTTCACACACGATTTCACTTGATCGCAATGCGAAGCTAGTCTGAATGGGGTATAAGTTGGTATAAGACAGCAGAGTGTGTGTTCACTGGACCTTGTCGACAATAACATACAGTGCTAGGTGAAATGAATATTCAATTTATATTGCTACTTAATTATTCATGAACCTCTGCCGTAGTGTCGCCCATAACAGCGATTGTCAAGAATGACCACGAACATGATGTTGAATAAACCTAATGAGTGTGTTGACGATGCTCTAGCAGGGTTAATTTCGTCTGTTGCAGGGGTTATACAACTGAAAGGACACAGAGTTATTTTAAGGGAAGATGTTGAGCAGCTGAAGCGTGAACAGAAAGTTACCCTTCTCTCTGGCGGAGGCTCTGGTCATGAACCAGCTCATGCAGGTAGGGAGGCCTAGTTCTATCTAGCCTTGCAGGTGACAGGCATGTAGGCATAGGCCTAGTAGCTGTCTCTTATACACATCTAGATGTGTATAAGAGACAGGGTTTGAACCAAGGGACTGCCTACAGCATCTATTAGGGTCCCGGAATAAAAACTAGTAGGTAGTGGGTTGATTGTGAGAGTTTTTATGGCTTAGTATGGCCCAAAATTGTAATTTTAGACCACGATATATTAGGGATTGGCAATCAACATAACGTAATAATAATATCTCTGGTTGAGGGTATGTCACACACTACAAGTATAGAGGTTATTGGGGTTACAGGCGCCTAGTAGCATGAAATGAGGGCGCTCATACACATGTTGCATTGAATATTCACATTAAAGCCATTATGTACTTGCTGGTTTGAAGGCACGGGTGACTTTTGGCTTTGGCATTCCACCAGATTGTTCATTTACTGTAATTTGGAAGAAGCCATCGACTTTTTGGTGCATGATGCGTGTCTAGGTAGGCTATAAAATGAAGACGGACGAAGCCTATTTTTTTACTCTTTTATTTTGATGTTAATACACCATGGCTAACACAAAATCAGAATTACGAATTTTTTGGGCGTCTCTGAAATTTTCAAGGGTCTTCGTTTTATAGACACCCAATATTGGTGTCTTCAAAACGAAGACCGAAGACCCGAAAAAAGAAGACCTCCAATTATTTCTCAATTATCGTATTTAAAGTATTTCAAAATCATCATAAAACAGTTGCCAAGTACCGAATTCATTATTTCATTGAAATTTAATGAGGAATATCAAGAAATACTAAAGGGTCTTCGTTTTATAGACACCCTATATGGGTGTCTAAAAAACGAAGACCGAAGACCTGAAAAACAAAGACCCACATAATGATAGTGAAATTCATCATTATCACATCACCATTATAGGCAAAATGAAGTGCCAACAAATTTTTAATGATTTTTTATCAAAGATTTTCAGCAATCATAAAAATCTATTTCTCTGTATGTACTACAAAAAAAAAAACAACTTAAAAACATTTTCTTTGATGTATTAGAACCAAAAACCATTCTTTACACGCTTTTGTCATACTTCTCAAATTATAATAAAGACATGCCCACTTGATTCGTGTATTATAGTTAATTTAAAAGTTTGTGAGCAGAGATACCATAACGTACTCTGGCTGTACAGTGCTGTTTTGTTAAAACCTGGGACAACACAGTTCATTTCAACAATGTTCAGGCATCTTTTTTAACATTTGAAATAACAGTGCAGTCAAAAAGTGGAGAACCAACCAACCAAACCCCCCCCCCCCACAAAATATGTCGGAGGACGTGTCCCCTTATGATCTGCACCCATGCACTTATTGATGATTATTTAATGAATGTTTAGAATATCATCTCTGATTTTATTTATTTATTTTTTTTTTTAAGGTTATGTTGGAAAAGGGATGTTAACGGGTTCGATTGCCGGTTCTGTTTTTACTTCTCCGCCAACTAAAAGCATTTTGGCTGCCATCAAAGCAGTTGGAACTGGAAATTCAGGTAAAATATGCTTGAGTTTATGATTTCATGAATAATTGCATTTCAATCAAAGAGATACATACGGTAAGTCAACAAAATAGCAAAGGTACAAATTATTGTTAACCTGCCCAAATAAAACATGCTGCAGTATTTTTTTATCTAATGTAGGACTTACTAGGATTTTCATCTAACCAGTTCCGGATCCAGGTGTTTTTGTGGTTGGGGGTAGGGTGAGTGCCAGTCAAAGACGGTCCAGGGGGCGGGACCTACTGAATTGTTGAGGCGACAAGTTGGTAGTGGTCCTTTTTGGGGCTCAGGGAGAAAGCTCTATGGAGTTTTTAGCCATTTAAACTTTTATCTAATATTTATGATTCCACATTGCTGGAATGTTATTCAGTGTACACATAGAATCTTTCATTTTGATAGTAATCTACTCACCATTTATCCCCCCCCCCCCAGCTGGTACATTACTCATAGTGAAAAGTTACACTGGAGACCGTCTGAATTTTGGCATTGCTGCTGAAAGAGCCAAAGCAGAGGGATTAAGGGTAGAAATGATTGTAGTTGGCGAAGATTGTGCGTTAAGCAGTGAAAACAAAATGGCAGGGAGGAGAGGATTGTGTGGTACCATACTAATTCACAAGGTTAGTGGACTAAGGATAAAGTTTGTTTTTTATTATTATTAAATTTCTATATTTTAGACATTTGTTGTTTGGAGTGGCACTTATAGCATGTCTTGATTGTTCATAAAAAATAAAATAGTTTTATTTATTTAAATTTACTACAATACTTCACTTCAGTACTGCTTTGTACTTCAGTATGGTACACTCATTATTTGAAAGGCTAGGTTCTTCAGTTATAAGTGACCAATGACAATGTCCAGTTTCTATCTGTGTAATTGGACGTACAGTAGTGCCAGTCCAGTGAGGTCTGTTTCTACCTCAATGGTCTGAGTCTAAAGTTCTGAGGAGAATTTTATCTTGTACTACCATACTATATAGTAATAGTAATTAGGATACTTGGTAAAGGCTAATTTATAATAGAACAGTAGAATAGTGTTTGTTAATTTAGAAAGTTTTTGGCTATTTTATGTACACAGAAGGAGTTATATTAAAGTTTGCAGTCAGTGGGTTTGCTAAACAATGTATAAAAAAAGTCTCCCCTTAAATCAACTACTGTATTTGTATACAAAACTCCAGACAAGGTTACATTCAAATCCCTTTTCCAAATCTTAGTATATTCATGGACAGTTTTTCTATTCTTTCCATGATTTTTGAAATTAAACTTCAGAATTATTTCATCTGTAAAGTTGCTTTATACTGTATTAAAGGTTTTTAAATCCCTCCCCAACCCCTCCCCTTTTTCATATTGTTTAAATATTTTGCTGTTTTCAGTTACTGTCAGTGAATGTAAACTAAAAATAAATATATTGTTGGATTATTTTGTAGGTGGCTGGTGCACTAGCAGAGGATGGAAAATCGTTAGAAGAAATTATTGATGTAGCGACAAGAGTTGCCAACAGCATGGGAACCATCAGTGTGAGCCTGTCACCCTGCTCGCTCCCTGGCTCTGGGCCATCATTTGAGCTTGGCCACAATGAAATGGAGCTTGGCTTAGGGATTCATGGCGAAGCAGGTATAAAGAGAATAAAGGTAGTGTGAATTCCTTTAAATAGAAATAAGAATAAAAACTAGGTTGCTGAGGTATTAAATCAGAGCTTGGCCACCAAACAACTCAAATTGTGTGTATCATCGTTCTTGTAAACATTTTTAATAAGTGCTGATTCCAAAAAAAAATTTTTAATTTTTATTAAGAATTTTAATGTATATTGTAAATCACATGCAATTCAGTGTTAATTTGCTGCTATATGTGGTCGAAATAGAATAAAATGAAAGAAATAAAAATCTTCGTAGGGGAATTCATCACAGTTCATCAGGAGAGAAAAAAATTTTGCAGATCTTTACAGATTTTAAAATATTAAAATTGATTAAAAAAGCCTTTAAAATCTCAAAGTGCGAGTATCTTTATTTTACCTTCTAAACCCACTCCAAGAAGTTTTAGGCAGCCTGGTCCAGCCCATTTCAGCTCATTGAAACCTGATGTAAATTTATCAAATTCTCCTTTCAGTTGCTTTCAGCCTGTGACACAGTAGCTACCATGTTGGATCATATGACTGATGCATCTAATAGGTCACGGTTGGCAATCAAAGATGGTGATCATGTAGCGTTAGTTATCAACAACTTAGGAGGAACATCATACCTTGAACTAAACATTGTGGCAAAAGAAGCCATTGAATATCTAGGTAAAGTATTGTAATTGTAGTCAATTGCCATTTCATATTTTTCCAATCATTCACTGACAAATTTAACACTTCTGCCTGACAAGCTCTTATGGTTGGTATGAAAGCCTCATTAAGAAATTTAGAACATGTTCAGAACTAGGTCTCTACACACCCTTCAAATACTATGTTTAACATTCTGTCGTATTTTAAAGTATCTGCATCTAATACTAATAAATTGTTTTAAAAAATTATGGTAAACCTCTGAAACTCGCCATGACTTTGCCTGAACATTTGAACTCAATGAAACCTAGCTGACCATTAAGAACAGGGTCTGGAATTCACAATCCCACACAACACATGTTGTCCCACAAACACGTGGGACTTTAGCAAGAATATCAATGGAGCGGGGCTTAGCGAAAGGTCCATTGGCCTACAGACACTAACACATGGTTTAGCAACCTTCTATGTTGTGGATCACTAAAATACATCTCTTTGGGGGTTTTTACATTTTACTAAAACACTCAAGAATCAACACCTTAGATTTTCACAGGAAAAACAACTTTTAGAACACTTGATAAACATCATTTTATACATGTCTAAGTGAGTCATGTCAGTACGTGTGTCATACACCTGTATTATTTACTTTTACTTGCATCTTTATTGCTGTTTTTTAGTGGGTAAAGGTGTTTCTGTTGATCGTGTGTATTGTGGTACCTTCATGACATCACTGCAAATGGCAGGCGTCTCGGTTACCATCATGCATCTGGATAATGAAGGAATGATCGTCAAATATCTCGGTCAGTATTACTCGCAATTATTCATTGTTAGTTGTTCAAATTAAAGTATCCAAAAACAAATCGCACAATGTAAATTATAAAAAAAAAAAACTTTTGTATTTTTAGATATTTTGTTTATAATTTCATTTATTTTGTCACCAAGGTACATTATACAACATAAACAAATTGCAAATGTACATACTGATACATGTAGGACATCCTGACAGATTGATCAGACAAAAAAAATCCCTGCCAGTTAAAATTACCAATCTTTTTGGATCAAAAGAGATAAAATAAAATCTAACAAACGAAACCAAAACATAGTAAAGTACTATTAGGCTATATTATATATTATTTTATATATATTATATTTTTGGCTTACAAAACAGATGAAATGAGCTTATTATAATTTTTTTTTAATTTTACAGACAAAGAAACAGCAGCAGTAGCATGGCCAAAGATAAGTACTTGCCCTGTTGGTCCATGTAAGTACCTCGAAATTCCTGACAACAAAGTGCAAATGAAATCAGGTGAAGGTACCCAAGGATATACAGGTAAAATAAATTCTATTTTTTGAAATCTTACATTGTATGTTTCACCAAAGAATTCAGTTGTGCATATATGCTTATATAATTGATAACTGTCTGGAAATGGTATATTTTGGTGGAGATATTTGTTCCCTATACAACTAGCCCTCTAAAAATGGTACTGAGGTACTGAGCTCTGCAGGCAATAGCAGTTCAGCTCAATTTCCATATTTCACTCTGCTAGACTCAATCACTTATTAAGACTGAATTAGAAAAAAGATGCAGTCTATTCTATGAAAAGGGCATTGGAATGGAACAACCTCAGTGTTGAACTTCAGGCAACCCCAACATTGCGTTAATTTAAAATCCAGATTAAGTCAACTCTAAGCAATATTTTACATATTTCATTTTTGATTTACCTTGCTGTTCAGAATTGGTTTAATATCTTTTTATATATTATATTGTATTGTAAATATTGTATTTTTTTCTTTATTTATGTGCACAATTCCAGGGAAGAACAACTCTGTGTTGAACTTGAACTCGAACGTAAAGAATTTTTATTTAAAAAATTGAATTATTTATAATACATATAACTAAATAATCATTGTAAATGTTGCCATTTGTCCAGAGGAATTCCAGGTGTTATCAAGAGCTGTGAAAGCAGCTTGTGACGCTATCTGCTCACAAGAGGAGCATCTGAATGAGCTTGATAGAGGAGGTGGAGATGGTGATACTGGTTCTACCCTCAAGATAGGGGCTGAAGGTTTGGTTTGTTGTTTTATAGACTTTTAGAAAATGGCTACCAGTAGGCTAGGGTTATTAGTGGCCTGGACTTACAATAGGTTTTAATGATAAGATACTTGAACTAGAACGTAGGCTAGAAATCAGATTTAGTTGTTGTCATCATCATGAAATGTAGTTCTAGACAAAATCATACAATTCCTTTTATAGAACATGAAAAATTGAAATAAAAAATTAAACTCTATAAATTTTGATTTATGTAATATTAATTGTATTGGCCTATGGTATTTGTATACTATGGCTTAAGGCTATCAGCTTTAAGTTTGTGTAGAACTACATTTTCTATCAAGTTTATATAAAGTTACCAACTAACAATTGAAAAAGAATTTTATACTGCTGAAGTTATAAATTATTCATCAACCAATATAAAAAATATTTATTATGTAATATTTTTTTATTTCAAGTTTTTTGTTGATTGGCAATTTGTGAGAATAAGCAGTGATTTAGGTATTGTATTTTATTTTAAAATTATTTTAAGCTCATTCTAGACAGTATATCTTTACAAGGAATTGTGAACATAATTTCATATCAGTAATAAATAATAAACATTTTGTGATTTGTATATCTTAATAGGAATACTATCATGGTTATCAACTCAGAAGACCCCACTCTCACCAAGTAGTGTTTCCATGCAGTTTGCATCAATTGCTGAAGATGTGATGGGGGGATCCTCAGGAGCAGTAAGTCAATTAAATGCCACTGAAAATACAAACATCCTAAACTTGCCTTCATGTTATTGGCTTCTGTACAACTAATTGTTTTTTACACATTGCTACTGTGACATGGATACTGAATTTGCTACTTAAAATTGTGCCTGTTATTATCAGTCAAATATCTCTTTATAACATTCAGTTAACTTTATTTTAACACTGTGTTCTGACTGAGAAAATGGTATATATTCAGGTCTGGCTATAAATCGACATGATATCTCAGCCTGCAACATTTACTTTCAGTTACAATGTCTTGATTGGTTGGTAATCTTGTAAATATCCTTGTTGGAAAGTATTTTGGGACAAAATATTATGCAAACTTTCCCTAGGCAACAATTATGAAATGATGAATGTTTGGTGGTTTGACCGTAAAACAGTATGTGTATTTATTGTTTACATATGTCACAATACAAATATTCACATATATTCTAGTTAACATTTCATATTTTAGTTGTACAGCATTTTCTTCACTGCTGCAAGCCGAGTGTTAAAGCCAACAAACAATCTTCAGAGTTACAGTGAAGCTTTGAAAGAAGGAATGGATGCCATGATGAAATACGGAGGTGCAGAAATTGGAGACAGAACAATGGTAATGCCACAGCCTTAGAGTAGCAGAACATTATAATTTAATATAAGGCATAGCTACATAAAATCAGTTACAAGTTAATCATGTTTAATCCATGGGAAACTTTAAAGCATGTTACACTTTCTTGCAATTATTTTTTTAACATTTTAAAAATTAAAAATTAATTTAAAAATTATGATTCAGCCTTCAAAACATCACTAGCATTATAAACATCAAATTTGAATATCCTTGAATAAATTCATCAGGTTTGTACTTAAAACCAGTTACAAATTAATCTTGTGTAATCCATGTGAAACTTCAAAGCATATTACATTTTCTTGCAATTTTTTTTTTAACATTTTAATTATGATTCCATCTTCAAAACATCACTAGTATTATAAACTTTATATTTGAATATCCTTGAATAAATTCATCAGGTTTGTTGTAGAATTAATTTTGAAATGCGAGTCCAGTTTTGTTAAAGAGGAAAAAAGTTTAATTCATATTTTTCTTATTGCATTATATATTTGAAGTATAGTATTATCATAGTACATTGAATTTAGTCTTCTATTACCTTTCAGCTTGATTCATTGAATGCTGTTTACAAGGTTCTTAGCCAAGATGGTGAAGTAGGCTCTTGTCTTGCAGATGCGGCTAAAGTAAGTTTCCTTTGGTCTGTTTATAGTGTAAAACAGCATCAGCGTCTGGTAGAACATGAACAGTTGCATCTGACACAGTGGCTGCTGCTCAGGATTTCAACCCTGTGGTTGTGTGTTCGAGCCTCATGTTGTTCATTTCTGACCAGACTTAGATACCTCAGCTAGCATTTTTTTTCCTCTACACAAACCAAAATCCAAATTAAGCATGTTTTTTTTCAATTTGGAAAAAAGAAATTTAAAAATTAGTCTAAAAATATAATGTACACACCATTGATATCAATCATTGAATTATAAATTAAAGACTGGAATTCTAAATTTATTGTTTTTAGGCTGCTGAGGAAATGGCAGAAAAAACAAAGAATATGGTTGCAAGAGCTGGCCGTGCAAGTTACGTGAGTAGTGAAAAGGTTACAAATCCTGACCCGGGAGCTGTTGCTGTTGCAGTCTGGGTTCGAGCTGTTGCAAATTCGATGTGCTGATGATCTATTGATTCAATAGCATTTCAGGCTAAAACAAGCCCTGAAAATATATACTATTTTTATATGTTAAAATATAACACTATATATATATTTTTATATTTTGAATTATTTATTTAGGTTACTTGGTACTAATCTAAATTAATTTTTTCAAATGCATGTACCAATTGACATTTATAATCTCAGAATTTGAAAGTACTGTATCTACTGTATTTGCATTATGTTTCTGACTTCTGTAATCATATCAGATTGGCTATAGAAGTGAGTATGTTGGGGTAATTCTTTGTAGATTATTTAAGGTGCAACAAAATCAATACTTTATTTTGTATATTTCATTTAACTTAACAAAGATTACATTGTTTCTAGTTGAAAGTTTATATCCACACTATTATTATTTACCATCTTGGAAGTTTTATGTTATTTATGTTCTGTTTCATTTTTCTATTCCTACATTCCGTTCAGCATTTTCAATTCTTTTAACTAAGAAAGTCATTTGACAAGCTTAATCCTCTATAACTTGATGTTATAGTGCCTCCTACAACTTTATTTTACGCCACTCCCCTCCATTAATTCGAATACTGTGTCGATCTTTAAACTAAATAGTTAATATTAGTATGCCTATCAATGTCCAATCAAGAAAATAAGCTTTAGATGGCATTATATCTAAAAGATGAAAATACAACGTAAAATTCAATTCAATGGAATTCAATTCCTTTTATTTGCTACAATAGCCATCAAGGGCCAATATCCACACAAAGAAACACGATACAGTAAAACAATACAATAATTTGTTTAATAGCATACGTTACATCTCTAGCAGCAAATTCTCTATTGGTTTTCTACTGCTCTAAAGCGCTAATACTTCTGTTTCTTTCTTATAACCTCTTTTTTTCTAAGGGCATTAGCTATTGCAATTCCTGTAGTTCTCCACATTTCTTTGGTTTTGATTGACACAAATGGCATCAAGGAACCGTATGCAGATAGTGCCTCGGCCATGGGAGCTTAAGTTTTTCGTTCGCCATTAATGCAAATTGTTTGTATTTCCTAAGGCACTAATGAAATTTTGATCATGAATCAAATTTGCTATAACATTATTTCATTTTGTATTGTACTGGTAAACCTGGCATTTAGGTCCTGACACAAAATTATATTTTAGAACAGGATTTGGTTACAAATGGGAATGTAAAACATGATTGTTCAATGCCAACTGTCCAATTTAAATTAAAATTTGTTGTTGAGGTTAGACCTTTACCTTCTATAAACCCCTCCAGGCTTTGTCTTATAGCCTGACTCTAAAGTACCCTACTATATTAAAACAAACTTTGCCAGAACTGCATTTTGTTTCAGTTGCTTTGCAGGTTTACCACCACATAAACGCACTTTCATAGAATCATACTCAAATATTTTCTTTTCAAAATGTTCACTACATACTCTCAAATAAGAGTTAATGTGGGTTTTGAATGTCCATACCAGGCATATATCATAGAAACATTAATTCTGAAGTTCCATGAGATGAACATTCCTGTTCTTCCAAATCAAAAAGTTCCAAGAAATCTGCTGGTCGTGGTGGGTTGCTTTCTTGACTCTTGCTTTTCTTTAACCATGTCCCTTTAGGGGCTCTGTACATTGGCAGAAGCTGAACAAAATCAAAAGTATCTGAGAGATCATTTGTAAGCATAACAAGGTTTTTTAATCCATAACATAAACTCAAAGAGCAGGTGCTGCGTTGTGAAATCCGCTCCGTGGGTTCGAGGTGAAGATGGAGGAACAGGACTTTGGGAATGTCTTCATGGGTTGTGCAGGTGAAAAAATCAGGGGCGTAGGCTGGTTGGAGCGTAGGCTGGGGCTGGTGTAGGCCTAAAAATAGGCCTGCTATTAGTACTACAATGGAAAATTGCAGGGCAGCAATTAGGCCAATAAAAGTACACATAGGCCTATAATCCTTTGTTATGTCTAGTCGTAAAACAAAATAAAACTCATTTTTATCCAAACTGTGAATAAACACTACATTAATATGAAATACTGTAAATACAATGAATTCTTTTACTCCTTTATTGTTTACGTGTCGGCGGTAATATGACCACATACTCGTACGGCCGTCGAGGCGAATGCATGAATGGCCAGTTCAATCATACTACGAAGTTGTTAACTGCGCATGCTTATGGCTGTGAGCAAAAACTCACGAAGCATTATTGGGCAGACTGCATAAAACTTTTTGTGTCAGTGGATTGCGACATTACAACGGACTCCGGTATCTACACAGGAGCAAAATGTGCAATGAACATTAGAACAGTGGCGTACAACGAATGAGTCGGAGGCACCTGGCCAGACGCTGGGGGTCGGGGTTGCAAAGGCCCGGTTGTTTCTGGACGTTTTTAACTTCCTATGACATATTTTAAAGTCTTTTTTACATTTTCGAATATTAAGTTTATGTATCGTGATTTGACCGGAGAAAAGCATTTTTTAACTTAGATATCACTAATAAACATATATTACAGTAAATACTAAACAAAACGAGCCAATTGAAATCAATAAATATTTATGGACAAAAACACATGTATCATACTCATGTGTCAATGCTCTTGCTCATGGTTTAATTTATTGTTTCCCATGGTTGGTGGCCTAACTACCGCAGGTTCATTGAACCTCGGCCCCCAAACTCCGGGACCCCCAATCTTTAAAGGCCGCGTCCCCTTACAAACAAGTCTATTAAAGCAGTGGTGTATCTAGGAGTCTTGAAATGGGGGTGCAGTTGTGGGGCGCGAAGGTGAAGTGGGGGTGGGCTCGATGATCAGTTGAGGGGCGCTAATTAGCAAAATAAGGTGATTTTAAATTACTTTACCGTGACTTTAGGGGGGGGGGGTGACTGGAGAAGCAAGTAATTTTTTTTGGGGGGGGGGTTAGAACCTTTTCCACCACCACTTCACCTTCGGGGCCCCCCCCAATCATCCCCTCAATTTCAAGGCTTCTAGATACGCCACTTGTCTTTCGGCTCCTTCGTTACGCCACTGATCCTTTGTAGTCTCGTTTACAACTTTCGCACATCCTTAAATGGGAACCACCCTACGCCTCAGGAAATGACAGCGAAACTGTTAACTTAAAAGAAGACATAAGCAGGTGTCACTTACGTGTCAGAAATGTGCATACCTCTTAAGTCTGGTTTCGAGTCGACGTAAAGTTCAGAATTTCTTACGATTCATACGATTCTTACGACTGTTACGAGAAGTTGGACAAAAACAGCCGCGTCTTGATCGTGCTGGGCCGCAGACAAAATAAGCCGGTTACGATTCTTACGATAAGTTGAATTTTTCAAGCTCGAACGGCAAAGCCTCTTCTAACGTCGTCACATGCATGTTACGTCAAGTTGAATTTTTCATTGCGACTGCGATATGTTAACATTTCTCACTTCCTGTCTGGTATCCTCATTAAAATTACCTGGCGAGATTCGAGGACAATTTTCACCGTTGGATTTAAACAATAGTCTAGTCCTGTAGTACAGAATAAGGGCATACAAATCTCGATTTGCTAACTTTCTCGTTATCAATTTTAGTGTTTCGTTCTCAAAATATCAATTTGGCCTATATTGTACTTTGTTTATTTCATTTCACCTTATTATATTATGTTTTGAACTGACAGATCTTATCTCCAGATACAGTTATACAGAAAACATGATTTAAATGTTAAAATTCGGGTTGTATAATATAAACA